TTATAGGCGCTTAGTATACATCGGGCATACAATGCGCATATACAGGCGTCGGTCAATTGATTTTAGTATTGAAAAAGGTTGTTAGGTAGAAAGTACAGTACTTCCCCCCTAGGGGTTCTATATAGGGTGCACCCACCTGTTTTGGCCCGCGAGGTTTAGCTGAGACCCCCCGCCACGTAGGTCGAGACCCCCCGGCAGCTGGAAGCTGCACTGCAGCGGGCCAGCAAGCGCATGATTATTGGCAACCAGAGAGGACAACCAGGCTGGACTTTTGGATAGACATACAGAGTACATACGAGTACCATATATAGATTATGTGTGTGAGCACCTTGTGGTGGTATACAGCATGGGAGCAATCTAAGCTGTAATGAGTGTATGTATGTATGTACATAGTATTGTATGAATAATACATGTACCGTACTCTAGTGTAGGTAATTTTAAGTTCAAGCTGATGATGATCACAGAATAGCGACTGGGAACTGGAAGCGCGCTTGGCGGCAAGATCCGGGCTTGTGCCGATTCCGAGTGGATTTCCCCAAAAAAAATTGACGAGCAGCTCGGAATCATCGAAGTGGATCGTCTGTTGGGTGCCCGTGTTTGTGTCGTCGGTGGGCGGGAAGCATCCGGAAACCGGCTCGTCGAGGGAAGCATCCCCATTGATGGAAATCATGGAATACGTAGATTAATTATTACGGGCGCGCCCGTCGGTGCAACGATCATTCATCAGTTGAACAGCTGCACAGTAGCACTTGGAGCGATGCATGCCACCTCTTGGCCTGCATGGTCTGACCAGATCTGCTATGGCTACACAGGCTAAGGTTAACTGTCGACTGATGCACACTACCGAAAGCATCTACAGTAGTGATAGGTCAGGTACGGAGTAGTGTAGTTGATTATTGATTGTCTGTACCACATCAGGACCCTACTTACACTAGACTAGGGGCACACTTTTTCCTCCGACGCATCTACTGTAGGCCATTTGGTTGGAAATTTTGGCAGCAACATCGTGGCCGGACAGGACTGTAGCGAGGAGATCATCATGCAAGTGATATTGTATGCAATTTGAACCGTTAGGTGGTGTGTACAGCAATACATATAATACAGACGCGTACTGCGCACCAGGAAAGAAGTTCTGCAATGGCCCCGGATACGACGCCAGTGATCTCCCAGGTAGTGTAAAGAACCGTCGGGTGCCATGCGAGCTCGAGCGAACACGGAAAGCGAAGGAGCTTGACGGCTCTGACATGGCAGACGTCGAAATTGTGCGCGCGGTGGATACAATCGAGAACTTGGCAAAGGCCAAGAGGAATCCTTATTGCTCCCTTGGTCCCTGCGGCCCATGTCCTGGACGCCCGGGGCCGACAGCCCGGCCAACCGGCACCTGTCCGTCTCGATGGGCAGGCTGGAACCGGGAAGTCACTGGGCACCCCCACACCAACCGTTTCAAAAATCGATGATGCGGGATCTTTTTTTCAACCTTGGGTTCACACAACCGAACAGGAAGCAGCCGACCGACAGGATCATCGGGTCAAAAAGTCCCTAGCGTGCAGGTGCATCCAGCACTACCACAAATACCAATCGGGACTCCTGCATATGGGAGCTCCGTCTAGGTACCCAACCGGAGGACATGGCGAGGAGGCTTCCATGGTCTAGCTGGTGTAGTTCTTCGGCTCCGCACAGCAGAATACCGGATTTACGCATGTATCTAACCTCGTACACCACATTTGTAAAGTGAGAATGGTGCTACGAATGGCTGTTGGGTTCCTGTCCATGCACGTATTGGTATGTTGCTTGTTGCTGCTTTTCTTCCAACCGAAGCGCATTCGTTCCGTGGCTTCCAAGGTTCAGTTTCACAGTTGCTTTTCCTTCCCGGCGGTCGGAACCAGGAAGGAAGAAACTTCGTACCTGGTATGGAGTAACATCGGTTGTCCGTACAGTACACTACTTGTCGACAGATATAAAAATGCAATTCTTAAGCATACGAAGTAAAGCAGCAGGAAGAACTGAAACCTAGGCCTAAGAGACCTGAAATGCAATGGATTATGGCGTACATACATTACAATACGAATACATACTCCATAGTGAGTATAGCGAGCATAGGTACCATAATTACGAAGAGTGTACGCAGTGTACAGTAATGTACAGTACCGTACGTGCCGAGGTTAAGGACAGGGGCCACTGCAGCCACCTGCGGGTTACTCTTGTTTCGGCCTAGAGCTTCACTCCAAAGTCTACCCTAACGCTCACGTCAACGTTAAAACATTTGAGAGTTCTTCGCGTCCACACCACTCATCATGGACCACGACGGAAACGCTAGAGTAACGGTTTATTAGGTATGCCATGAGGCAAAGGTATTGTACCTAAGCAGCAGTCCGGGTTTCTCCGCTCCAATCTCTGCCAGTCTGGTTTCTTTAGGTCATGTCACTGGCCAGTGTAACTTTACGCTAGTTTGTATGTAGATGTATTTTTGCAAAGTGTATTTTACGATACCTGAATTCCACTGCCTCCAACGACACGTTTTTTTTTCGGTGACCGCCAATCTCGCCGTTCTCGGTGGCGCCAACCGAGTGATGCGTGGCTGCAGGGCAAAGCCAGCCATCCGGCACACCGACAAGGGTGAATTTCTTACGAATTTGCTGATTCTGGCAAGGTGGTCCGGAAACGCAGATCCTTAACACGTCGAATTCGGATCATGTATCATGGGGGCAGGACCCCCCGAAACTCGGCACTTTTCAACATAGTCACCTCAGCGCGGCAACAAGTACGAATTTTGTGCTTTGTTTGGGAGCTTTAAGGGGAGAGGAAACGCCTGGCCAACCCGAGATAGGTACAAGTACAACCTAAGTACAGGACCCGAACTCAGGGAAATGAAGATTACACAATCAAGATGCGGCCGTCCGGCGACGCTGCCGTGACCCGATGCAAATAAGCACTAACGTTAACTACAGGCTATCCACATACCTAGACCCGACTCTGTTGAGGAACCTGCTTGCCGCCTGCTTGCTGCCGTCTTTCCGAAGCCGAACACCCCGGGCCATCAGTCCGCTCGCGCTCTTCCTCTCGCGCCAGCAGCCCTCCTTGCAGCTATTCCACCCACTCACAATTGATTGTTCCCCTTCCCGCCCGGCCGGCATCTGGCGCGCCGTGAGAGCCCTGAGATCAAAATATACAGAGTGTTGTCCACTATGTATTTGCCACACAATACATACCTTAGGTAACCCGCTGCCGGGCATGCCTGCTCCAGAGAGGAGGTAGGTAGGTACCGAGGGACGGACATCGGGCCCGCTAACAGTGCCCCGGTTGCATGCGGTACGGGACGGAACTTAATGATCCTGCAATCTCGGCCGCGGCAAGACATCTTTTCTTTTTCCTTCATGTTTTTCTTTCCATCCCTTTTTTACATGTATCATGCACAACAATCGCCCAGCACCACCAACATTACCTGTGCCGACGGAATTACGGACGGGATCGCTGCGGAACTGCGGCGCGACTGGATGATTCTCTGCAGATCCGAGACGGCAGGCACGTCGGCTCGCCCGAATGCCACGCCGTATCCGTTCCACGCGTGTTCGATGGGCTTCCTCCGCGGTTTCAGGACCTTCCCCAATACCGGCGGGCGAAAGAAAGACACGCCTGCCGCTTACGGCGTATCCACTGCTCGTTGTCACCTTCCTCTGGATGAGTTCCGTTGCTACGGTGTAATCACCGGGGATCTGGCAGGAATTCGGTCAGATTTATCGGCAGTACATACATAACTATGTATGTGATGGCGGGAGCCCCCTGGAACATTTCCCTCGTCCTGCCGAGCGGCATCTTCCCTGATTTCGGGCCGAGCCGATCAAGTTGGCTAGGCTGAGGGGAGTCGATGGGCTGAGGCGACCAGACACAGAGGCGAGCTACAGTACACTACATAAGCTCAAGCCTTTGGTGGTTACACCTTGTTCGGCGGACATACAGATGGGCGTATTGCGCACTGAGTGCCACTGCATGCCCATTCCCGCCGGTCAGTGAAGCTCGTGGCGGACTGCGCGGTTTCGGCTGATGTCTTGCTAAACTTCGGCGTGTCGAATTAAGTCTCCGTTGCATCTTTTACTTGTCTACGGATACCTGTCTAGTGATGCGGAAAACCGCCCCTTCAAATCAGACGCTTTCTGCAATTTTCATGGAGAGTTGACTCTGTCGGGCTTAGTCTCGTTGCCTCGTTGTGCATATGGCTACTTGTCTAGCAGATGATCTCGAAATAATTCAGGTTGGGAACACGACTGCATTGCGTGGGAGGTCGCTGTTGCTCGAGTGGGCAGTTACCCCCCCTTTATCAACAGAGTGCAACTTGCACTAAAGCCAAAGACAGGATGGTTCCCAAGCCTTTTCTAACAACTGAAGTGATTACCTCCCGCTTTAGTATCGATGCTCCGAGACAGCTATGGACGCCCACCCCGTTGACAGTTCAGATTTAGCAGCGTCCGTCATGTCGGCAATGTCAGCAGTTCTCTCTCGCTCCGTACAAGGCAGGGAGAGTTGTTCGGATCTTGAGTATGACCCTAGCCTCGGGTCAAGAACTTCGCTAAGTGAAAAGCTTTCTAACGTATTGTGCGCTATCCATCCACCTATGGAGCGATGAGGGCTAGCACAAAGCCCTACAGACGACAGGATGGGATGCGTTGGGTTATACGTCCATGAACAGACGCCGTACGACGCCATCAACACGACCCCTGAATTCTTTCGCCGTCTTATGAATGTCCTACAAGATGCAATACAAGTCCTTTACTGTGCAACGTGTCTTTCCAATGATGCAGGGTAGTGCCCCTCGCAGACGAGTAATGTACCCTGGATTCATAGGCCGTCCTAGCAGACAAAACAGCCGGGTATTGCAGCAACATCTCGGTCATCAACATGAGTATTACCCCTCAGGCTACCTACCAACCTTAGGGCCTATCCATCGTTGATGAAAGACGTTAATCTATCATTGGCGGATATTTCGACAGGAACTCTCGAATGATCCAGATTCGAGAAGGACCTTTTAATCAAGAGACAATCGCATGTCGGCGTCCACAACTAGGGCCCGAAGATAAACCCGACCACGCTGGCCCGGTTGAACGGTTGGCATAGATAGACGAGAGCTTAAAACTCTCCGGGCGTATATGAGCATAACTTCGCTGCATATCATCCATTTACAATGATATCAGACTGTGGATCGCAGGCAGACCAGCCTCCAGCCCTACGCCATCGCAGCCGCATCGGGGTCCGGAAGGCTGGCCAGGAACAGCAGAGCCACCAAGTCCAAGTACCTACTCCATAGATATGTACACAATATGCACGTGTATTTATAATTCCATGTGTATGGCAGTTATGGAATCTGTCTGCAAGATTCCACATAAGGTGTGTTGATTCATTGTGTGCTACTACCTTAGGTAATGTATGGAACTCTGTGTGACCTTAGAAACTGAGGTACTTGTATGTACCTAGGTACACACACGAGTTTCTTCGGCCACATCCGAAATCCGGCAGGAACGGCCAGCTGCACATGGCTCTGCGCCGGGCTCTCTCGGGCAGCAATCCGATTCGCTCAGGGCGGGTCTGGCGCTTGTCGGCTCGGCGGCAGTGGCCTGTGTTACATCGCACCATCAAAATTGGTCTTTTTGTCCGGATACCCGGCTAATGCCGGCACTGCCGATGATTACCGTATTTACAAACTTCCGAGATCCCGCGGCGGATTCCTATCCGATTTCCGAGCCTATCAATCCCGATCCCGATCCCGGTTAGAAGCCGATTCATGTATGTGCTGTACAGTCCCTCATACCGGCACCGAGCATTTGCCAGCGGCATCACGTCGTGCCGCACACGAGGCTAAGTTTACCAATAGCGGCAACGCGGGCACGGCTACGACCAGCGACCACACACCACCAGACTTGGATTTGACGCCAAAGCTCGGCTGCCGAAAAGCATGGCCTCGGTATCGGGGACCGAACTGGAAGCGGATACCGGGGCGTGGGCTTCGGTACCTTGGACGCCCGTCACCGATCGTGACGACTGCAACACCATCATCGGCTGGCGCAAAGCGAACATCCCCTATCTCCCCGCCGGGACGGCCCTCTCCCTCCAAACCCTCGACGTGTGGATTCCCGCCAGCACCACCGTAGCAGCTCCAGATGCATCCATCCTGCCCTGTCCCCCAAACGGGAGCGCGGGCAAGTGGATTATCTACATCCACGGCGGCGCCTGGCGTGACCCGGCCATAGACGCAAGCTCCTTTTCCGCAGCTGCAACCAAGCTCCTCCACTTCCAACACACCTCCACCAACACCCCCATTACCACCAACAACAACAGGAAATCTACCGGCTGCATCGCAGGCCTGGCATCCCTCAACTACCGCCTCTCCCCCCACCCTTCCCACCCGTCAGACGACCCCTCCCGGCAGGCCACCCACCCAGAGCACATCAGCGACGTACTCTCTGCCCTCTCCTTCCTGCAACAGCACCTCTTCCACCCAAACAACAACAACAACAATATGGACGACATGATCCTAGCAGGCCACAGCTGCGGCGCGACGCTGGCCTTTCAAGCCGTCATGGCCCCGTCGCGATGGGGGCTACCTTCGCCACCATCACCACCACGATTATTCACGCGCAGCAGGGTACGCGCCATCGTGGGTCTGAACGGGCTGTACGACCTGGCCGGGGTCGTGCACTCGGACTCGACCTCGACGCCGGCGTGGCTGCGCGAAGCGTACGCCGAGTTCACGCGCGGCGCGTTCGGCGATGATGAGGACGTCTGGCGCGCCGTCTGTCCCGCTACCGCGCAAGGGTGGGTCCCTGAGTGGCTTCGGGGGAATCAAGAAGGAGAAGACGGTGCTGCGGGTGATGCGGGTGGGGATGATGGAGATGGGCAGCAGCCTGAGGCTAAAGCTGCTGAAAAGGTGGTCGTTCTCGTCCAGAGTCGACAGGATTCTCTCGTGCCGTATGACCAGTTGGAAAAGTTGAGGGGGTATCTGCTCGCTGCCGCCGGCCAAGGAGGCCGTTTGCGAGTAGAGGAGTTGCATGCCGGTGGGGAACATGATGACATCTGGCGGGAAGGGGGGAGAATGGCGGAGATTCTTTGGCAGGTTGTAGCTGGGTTGTGATGTTTGTTGTTCAATCTTTACCAAGGATGGGGGATGGCAAGGCGAGAGCTATGGCTTCCTTGACTGGCTTAGGTTGTCTTTGGGGGGTTAATAGACGGATGGGTGCCGGTTCATGGTAGAGGTGACCTTAGAGACCTAGGTACCTATGATTTCCAGCGGGGAAAAGGGACCACCGCGTGTTTGTGCCGGTGCTTGTCAGAAGGAAACTAGATAGGTGGCTGATGCAACAGACACGTCTTGCCGTGTGTTATCACGCCCCTGGATGGGACCATTGGCCAGGCTCCGATAGGGGTAGCGAATATGTAAGTGATGCTGTACCTCTGCCCCTACTAATAAGATGGTCTTGAATCACAATCTCATGGCATGCTTGAAGAGAGACACCGTGGCAGTGCCCCGTTCAATGATTAGGGGCTGGTTGAACGCCATCTCTGAGTATTGAAGCGAGGCATTTGCATTTCGTATACACTTTCTCATGGTGGGATTTCCAGCCGTGGATGGCTAAACGAACCCCTGAGTTGCCCGTCAGCCGTCCACAGCCCCCTTGAGACGAAATTCGAGGCGCCTGAGCAACGTCAAAGTCGGGAGACGCAGGAAAACTGGGCTGAACAGGCCAGTCCTTTGCCCAGTCGGTCTGCAGCGTTGCCTTTGCGTGGCTGAATGTTGAATGTTGTTTGGCTCACCGCTTGGGGGGGTTGCATGAGAGAATCAGAGTCTCAGACGAAGGGACATTGAGAACCGTGGCAAAGTTATGGAATCGCCCAGCTCCTGGTATTGGTACGCCTGATGCCATTGTATTGGCTGAATGGGATGACTTGTAAACTATATCACCCGTTCAGAAGACCGAGTCGGCCTCTGAGGTAGTTGGTTGCTGGTCCATGCAGGCGGTGTCAGGTACTGGAAGTTCCGGTGCCCTGCAGCGATAATCCGTACATACAGTGAGCGTGATTTCGGGAGGAATCGAACCACACATAAGATGGTCACTGCGAATCATCCGCCGTAAGCGACGAGACAATTGCAAACCACGACATTTCAGGAGCCCGAAAGGCAATGCGCTGCCAAGAAACGAGCCAACACATTCCTTCTAGAAAAGCGCCATATTCTTCCATGCAAGGCACACTCAAAT